CACGTGCTGGTTTAGGGTTGCCGAGTATCAAGTACAGAAGTTTCTTCTCTTCACTAGTGCATTTCAGTATTTGTCTGGTTTTATATAAGAAATCTTTGATGAGTGTCTCCCACTGTTGTGAGCTGATAGGTTCATATGTAGACTGGTCATTCAAAAAGTCCATCATTTTGATGGTGTATTCACTGGTGTTGAGTATGACGACTCTACCTCCTTTGTTAGCAGTGGTGATGATAATATTTGGGTCATTAGCAAGGTCCTTAAGAGCTCTGATATACCACCTAGGAAGATTAGTAGAAGAAGGCATTCTTACCGCAGCTTTATGTGAACCTTCTACTAATCTTCCTAGGTGGTATATCAGTGCTCTTAAGGACCTTGCTAATGACCCAAATATTATCATCACCACTGCCAACAAAGGTGGATTTGTCATACTCAACACCTGTGTTCTTTTACTTAACATCCACTTTATAGTTTGCCTTTCATGCTTACGATGTTTTGCAGTTTCCAGATTAGTCTTTATTAAGATTTGTATGGAAAGCTTTGGTAAAATATAAGCAAATTAATGCTTTTCACCCGTTTTGTTTTTTAAAAAATTTCTGTGACTGTCAATTACCTAACAAGATTTGACAAAGAAATTTGTCAGTTGGAAATGGAACTGTTTGCAAGGTTAGTATTTCTTTTGCTCTCCAAGTGTTTTATCCATTTTTGTAACGTCTTTTTGGTAGTTTTACAACACTGCTGGTCACTGAGATGGTGCTGTAGTTAAGTGCAATGGGTGCCATTTTTTTGTGTTCCTGTTTGCATTCTTTTGGTAATCCCTAAAATTTTCCAGAAATAATAGCTGTGTTATTCATGTTGCTATCTGTTACAAAACTCGTCTTCTTAACCTTCTCCAGTGGTATGGTAGAGTTTTAAGGTAGCATTCTTGTTGAACATATGGCCTGTTTACGGTTTTGTAACAATAACTTTTAATAAGAATTCAGGATTACGAAACAAATAACTAAAACTTAGAATCTTTATTAGTAGTTTTAGCTTAATATATGATATAATGTTAGGCTTAACATAAAATAAGGAGTTTAACTCTTACATTTCTCTTGGTAGGTACCAGTACATTGATATGAATAAATGAACCTCTTGAGGTCGAGCTTTGTACTAGGTTCACCAATAATATGCACCTATGATGGTTATTAAGACTTATCCACAAAGTAACTTACAATGGTTATAATGACTTAGCTGAACTATCGATTCAGAATATACCAGAACTCGTAAGTGATGGACTTAGTCTCATTCCCATCCAGCATGACTTAGAATAGCATAGACCACAAATTAACCCACAAGGCCAACAAGGCTTGCTCAGTCAGCTGAAAGATTAATTCGCCCGAGTATAAATAACTCGAAAGTGACAAGCTTAAGAAAGGAAGTCAGTCATGAAGGAAAAATGACCACCAGAGAGAACTTGACATGTCTCTTATGAGAGGTCAATGATTAACCGAGTGAGATATGCTCCCTTCGCTATGCAAGTCGGACTAGAAGTGGGAGTGCGAGTCAGAGTGAGTGTGAAGGACCTGCTCTCAGCAAGTGCTGTAAAGCTACTCAGAGCAAGGGTGGTGAACCTACTCTGAGCAAGTGCTGTGAACCTACTGATGGTACCACTGAGTGCTAAGCCGACGTCAGGTTGGTCACGTGACTGAGGGAGACCTCAGTACCTGAACTGCTAACCGGCACTTAAACCTAGTGGTTTCCCACTACATGGAAATTAGAATATTAAAGCCTAACAAAACATAATATAATACAATATTAGCATTAATATTAGCCTTAACATGATATAAAATAAAGGGGCATTTTTTTTTTTCTCAACAAGTTGGCCGTCTCCCACCGAGGCAGGGTGACCCAAAAAAGAAAGAAAATCCCCAAAAAGAAAATGCTTTCATCATCATTCAACACTTTCACCACACTCACACATAATCACTGTTTTTGCAGAGGTGCTCAGAATACAACAGTTTAGAAGCATATACGTATAAAGATATACAACATATCCCTCCAAACTGCCAATATCCCAAACCCCTCCTTTAAAGTGCAGGCATTGTACTTCCCATTTCCAGGACTCAAGTCCGACTATATGAAAATAACCGGTTTCCCTGAATCCCTTCACTAAATATTACCCTGCTCAACTCCAACAGATCGTCAGGTCCCAAGTACCATTCGTCTCCATTCACTCCTATCTAACACGCTCACGCACGCTTGCTGGAAGTCCAAGCCCCTTGCCCACAAAACCTCCTTTACCCCGTCTCTCCAACCCTTTCGAGGACGACCCCTACCTCGCCTTCCTGTCCCTATAGATTTATATGCTTTCCATGTCATTCTACTTTGATCCATTCTCTCTAAATGACCAAACCCCCTCAACAACCCCTCTTCTGCCCTCTGACTAATACTTTTATTAACTCCACACCTTTTCCTAATTTCCACACTCCGAATTTTCTGCGTAATATTTACACCACACATTGCCCTTAGACAGGACATCTCCACTGCCTCCCAACCGTCTCCTCGCTGCTGCATTTACCACCCAAGCTTCACACGCATATAAGAGTGTTGGTACTACTATACTTTCATACATTCCCTTCTTTGCCTCCATAGATAACGTTTTTTTGACTCCACATATACCTCAATGCATCACTCACCTTTTTTCCCTCATCAATTCTATGATTAACCTCATCCTTCATAAATCCAATCCGCCGACACGTCAACTCCCAAGTATCTGAAAACATTCACTTCTTCCATACTCCTCCTCCCCAATTTGATATCCAATTTTTCTTTATCTAAATCATTTGATACCCTCATCACCTTACTCTTTTCTATGTTCACTTTCAACTTTCTACCTTTACACACATTCCCAAACTCATCCACTAACCTTTGCAATTTTTCTTTAGAATCTCCCATAAGCACAGTATCATCAGCAAAAAATAACTGTGTTAATTCCCAATTTGAATTTGATTCCCCATAATTTAATCCCACCCCTCTCCCGAACACCCTAGCATTTACTTCTTTTACAACCCCATCTATAAATATATTAAAAACCATGCTGGGCATTACACATCCCTGTCTAAGACCTACTTTTACGGGAAGTAGTCTCCCTCTCTTCTACACACCCTAACCTGAGCCTCACTATCCTCATAAAAACTCTACAGCATTTAGTAACTTACCACCTATTCCATATACTTGCAACATCTGCCACATTGCTCCCCTATCCACTCTATCATATGCCTTTTCTAAATCCATAAATGCAATAAAAACTTCCCTACCTTTATCTAAATACTGTTCACATATATGCTTCAATGTTTAAACACTTGATCTACACATCCCCTACCCACTCTGAAACCTCCTTGCTCATCTGCAATCCTACATTCTGTCTTACCTCTAATTCTTTCAATTATAACCCTAAACCCTACACTTTTCCTGGTATACTCAATAAACTTATTCCTCTATAATTTTTACAATCTGTTTTGTCCCCTTTCCCTTTATATAAAGGGACTATACATGCTCTCCGCCAATCCCTAGGTACCTTCCCCTCTTTCATACATTTATTAAACAAAAGTACCAACCACTCCAACACTATATCCCCCCCTGCTTTTAACATTTCTGTCATGATCCCATCAGTTCCAGCTGCTTTACCCCCTTTCATTCTACGTAATGCCTCACGTACCTCCCCCACACTTACATTCTGCTCTTCTTCACTCCTGAAAGATGGTATACCTCCTTGACCAGTGCATGAAATTACCACCTCCCTTTCTTCCTCAACTTTTAAAAGTTCCTCAAAATATTCTCGCCATCTACCTAATACCTCCCTCTCTCCATCTACTAACTCCCCTACTCTATTTTTAACTGACAAATCCATACTTTCCCTAGGCTTTCTTAACTTGTTTAACTCACTCCAAAATTTTTTCTTATTTTCGTTAAAATTTCTTGACAGTGCCTCTCCCGCTCTATCATCTGCTCTCCTTTTGCACTCTCTCACCACTCTCTTCACCTCTCTTTTACTGTCCATATACTCTGCTTTTCTTATAACACTTCTGCTTTGTAAAAACCTCTCATAAGCTAACTTTTTCTCTTTTATCACACCCTTTACTTCATCATTCCACCAATCACTCCTCTTTCCACCTGCCCCCACCCTCCTATAACCACAAATTCTGCCCCACATTCTAATACTGCATTTTTAAAACTATTCCAACCCTCTTCAACCCCCCCCCCCCACTATTCATCTTTGCACTAGCCCACCTTTCCTGCCAACAGTCGCTTATATCTCCCCCGAACTTCCTCCTCCCTTAGTTTATACACTTTCCCTCCCCTCTTACTTTTTTGCGGGCCACCTTCCTCTTTTCCCATCTACCTCTTACTCTAACTGTAGCTACAACTAAATAATGACCATATATCAGTTGCCCCTCTATGAACATGTACATCCTGGAGCCTACCCATCAACCTTTTATCCACCAATACATAATCTAACAAACTACTTTCATTACATGCTACATCATACCTTGTATATTTATTTATCCTCTTTTTCATAAAATATGTATTACTTATTACCAAATCTCTTTCTACACATAGCTCAATTAAAGGCTCCCATTTACATTTACCCCTGGCACCCCAAATTTACCTACTACTCCCTCCATAACATTTTTACCCACTTTAGCATTGAAATCCCCAACCACCATTACTCTCACACTTGATTCAAAACTCCCCACGCATATCCTATTATAAAATAAAATGGATATGGCCATACTCGTAACACTATCTTATCTATTACTTACTTGTCAGCATCCAGTATAATAGTAGCTTCTCTTCAGATAGTACTTGGTATCTTAACAGTAAGGCCAGGAGTGGTAATAAAAGTAGGAATTTTAGTTTTATTTTTGGTAGAAAATTGAGGAAGTGACAGGTTTATTGTATTTATGACATTGTTTCTTATGCATACCTTAAAATAACTATGGATTTTTTTTTTTTGACAGATTCGCATTGATAGATTGGTAGACAAATGGTCTGGCAGTATAGAAGTTGGAATTACCACCCATAACCCTGGACTCTTGGACTTCCCTGCTACCATGACTAATATGCGATCAGGCACCACTATGATGAGTGGCACAGGAATACTTACAAATGGGAAAGGAACACATAGAGAGTATGGCGAATTCAATCTTGACGAACTTAAGGTGAGAAGTATTTAACTACTTAGGTGCCTTAATTGATAAATTTTTAATATAATTTCTTGAATAAAAGTCACAGTACCGTGTCTGGAACAATTCTTAACAAGCCCACACTTTGGAGAGGAAACCTTGGATGATGATTCAGTTTATCCTGGACAGGGCTTGAGTAAGGGGGTGGGCCAGCCAGGCAGAGCTCATAAAAATGATGCTATTAGATTTTTACTTCATCTGTATTGCATTTATGCTTGACTGAAAAATCTCATTTATTTTTTTTAACACGTTGGCTGTTTCCCACCGAGGCAGGGTGACCCAAAAAGAAAGAAAAAAAAAAAAAACAAAAGAAGAAAGAACTTTAATCATTCAATACTTTCACCATCACTCATACATAATCACTGTCTATGCAGAGGCACTGAGATATTCCAGTTTAGATATCCCTCCAAACTGCCAATATCCCAAACCCTTCCTTTAAAGTGCAGGCATTGTACATCCCGTTTCCAGGACTCAAGTTTGGTTAACCGGTTTCCCTGAACCCCTACACAGAATATTACCCTGCTCACACTCCAACAGCTAGTCAGGTTCCAAAAAACATTCATCTCTGTTCACTCCTACCACTCGCTCTCAGGCACACTTGTAAGTCCAAGCCCCTTGCCCACAAAACATCCCCCTCCCTCTAACTTTTTCGAGGATGACCCTCTACCCTGCCTTCCTCTACAGATTTATACGCTCTCCAAGAAATTCTACTTTGTTGCATTCTCTCTAAATGACCGAACCACCTCAACAACCCCTCTTCAGCCCTCTGACTAATACTCTTAGTAACTGCACACCTGCTAATTTCCTAATTAAAAATAGTTATTACTGAAGGGTAGGGGATATTCTTCTTCTCCTTTCAACATACCAGCCGTATCCCACCGAGGTGAGGTGGCCCAAAAGAAAAAACTGAAGTTTCTCCTTTTAAATTTAGTAATATATACAGGAGAAGGGGTTACTAGCCCCTTGCTCCCGGCATTTTAGTCGCCTCTTACGACACGCATGGCTTACAGAGGAAGAATTCTGTTCCACTTCCCCATGGAGATAAGAGGAAATAAACAAGAACAAGAATTAGAAAGAAAATAGAAGAAAACCCAGAGGGGTGTGTATATATATGCTTGTACATGTATGTGTAGTGTGACCTAAGTGTAAGTAGAAGTAGCAAGACTTACCTGTAATCTTGCATATTTATGAGACAGACAAAAGACAACCAGCAATCCTACCCCTCATGTAAAACAATTCAGGCTTTTCGTTTTACATTCACTTGGCGGGACGGGAGTACCTCCCTGGCGGTTGCTGTTTACCAACCTACTACCTACAAGGGTAGGGTGGGGTGATATATATATATATATATATATATATATATAAAATATATATATATATAATATATATATATATATAATATATAATATATATATATTATATATATATATATATATATATATATTTTTTTTTTTTTTCAACAAGTTGGTCGTCTCCCACCGAGGCAGGGTACCCAAAAAAGAAATAAAATCCCCTAAAAGAAAAATACTTTCATCATCATTCAACACCTTCACCACACTCACACATTATCACTGCTTTTGCAGAGGTGCTCAGAATACAACAGTTTAGAAGCATATACGTATAAAAGATACACAACATATCCCTCCAAACTGCCAATATCCCAACCCCTCCTTTAAAGTGCAGGCATTGTACTTCCCATTTCCAGGACTCAAGTCCGACTATAAGAAAATAACCGGTTCCCTGAATCCCTTCACTAAATATTACCCTGCTCACACTCCAACAGATCGTCAGGTCCCAAGTATCATTCGTCTCCATTCACTCCTATCTAACACGCTCATGCACGCCTTGCTGAAGTCCAAGCCCCCTCGCCCACAAAACCTCCTTTACCCCCTCTTTCCAACCCTTTCGAGGACGACCCCTACCCCTCTTTCCTTCCCCTATAGATTTATATGCTTCCATGTCATTCTACTTTGATCCATTCTCTCTAAATGACCAAACCACCTCAACAACACCCTCTTCTGCCCTCTGACTAATGCTTTTATTAACTCCACACCTTCTCCAAATTCCACACTCCGAATTTTCTGCATAATATTTACACCACACATTGCCCTTAGACAGGACATCTCCACTGCCTCCAACCGTCTCCTCGCTGCTGCATTTACCACCCAAGCTTCACATCCATATAAGAGTGTTGGTATACTATCTTTCATACATTCCCTTCTTTGCCTCCATAGATAACGTTTTTTGACTCCACATATACCTCAACGCACCACTCACCTTTTTTCCCTCATCATGCAATTATAAATGACTTGTTTGGTAGCTGTAGAGCGGGTAGTTAAATGATATACTTCTTCGGAGGCTTCTTAGTTTATTGATAACTAGTGTTGGGTTACACCAGGCTTGTGTGTTTGTGCCCATGGCCCGGGCAGGGCCATGCCCACGAGAGAGAGCTGGGAGGCCTTGTGTGTTGATGCCAGGCCGCTGTGTGAGTGAGAGCGAGGCAAGTCTGGGCATACTGAAGTGGGAAGGCCTATAGAATAGCAGCACCTGAGTGGCGCGAAATATGAACTAAGCTGGCAGACAGCATGGACTATCTGTGCAGACAGTCAGCTGTCTACATACGCTCGGCCACCTATCGCGCGTCGTCCCGACGCGACAATACTGGTGGTAAAAGAAACTCTGTCTCTCTCTCGTAGGAACAGGGCACAGAACACAAAATAAAAACATATATATACATATGGACATGGAAAAAAAAACTTCCTACAGGGAGGAAGAAAAAAACATGTGGGGTGTGCTAAACTCGTGGTCTAGGCAGTGACGTCGATGGGCATCACTGCACCCTTCCTCATCTGGACAGATACTGCAACACGGGAGACATCGCTGCGGCTGAGCTGTGACGTAACAGGGTACGGTCTCCTCTGGAACGGTGAAGCAGACATCGTAGGAGTCGCTGCAGTTTTCACTCAACCTGGGCACGACATGCTGGTGCCCTCGAGTGAGGGGTCGACAAAACTCGGCAACTGGGCAGGACTTCTGACAAGCGACTCAGGGGGGACACTTCTCGAGGTACGTCCTGGGGGTGTCACTGCCCGGGGAGCGGGGAGTTGTGGGGCGAGTCGTGGCACGACACTGGGCAAACATTTGGGGGTCTAACATCAAACACCAGACTGCTTGAAAGGGTACATCAAAGTGACATCTTCTTTTTTTGGGGGGGAAAAACCACAAAACTCACCTCTGGCTTTGATCATTGCCTCTAACAGACCAACACAACCTACAACCCTTCTGACACGTGAGTGGAAACAGCGTTGTCACTCCAACCTTAGCGGTCCACTGTGACGCCACTCGAATTTCTGAGAATTTACCAAATTGGCTTGGACCGCATCTCCACTGCTCCAAACGCTCCACGTGCTGCATTTACCACCCATTCACCATAAGAGTGTTGGTATACTAATACTTCATACTTCCTTCTTTGCCTCCAGGGTAAACGTTTTTTGATCCACCACCTACGCTCAAGCAAATCACTTTATTCCCTCTACATGAATAAGATCACAGTGAACAAGTGATTTCAGAATATGTAAAACAACCACTGAATTTTTTGAAACAAGGCTGCTTAACACAATCCTCCCTAATAGAGCTAAATGGTTCAGATATGTTGATGATATTTTGTGTCTTATGCCCAAGAATGTAGATATACACCATTTCCTTGGTAAATTAAATAGCCTAGCCCATTCTATAAACTTTACTGTTGAGTTTGAGGAAAATAACTCATTGCTTTTTCTAGATCTTTTAATTATTAAGAGTAATAATGAATTCAAATTTAAAATTTACAGAAAACCTACAAATAACTGTTCCTATGTACGCTATTATTCTTCACATCAAGATAGAGTTAAACTGTCTGTTTTCTCATCATTGTTTTTGAGAGCTTTGCATATTTGTAGTCCAGAGTTCATAGATGAGGAAATATCCAAAATTTATGAAATAGCTAATGATTTGAAATGCCCAAGAAACTTTCTTCTTTCAACACACTAGCTGTATTCCACTGAGGTGGGGTGGCCCAAAGGTAAAACGAAAGTTTCTCCTCTTACATTTAGTAATATATACAGGAGAAGAGGTTACTAGTCCCTTGCTCCCGGCATTTTAGTCGCCTCTTACAACACGCATGGCTTACGGAAGAAGAATTCTGTTCCACTTCCCCATGGAGAAACGTAATTGATAAATCTTTTCAAATTGCTAGAAATACTTTTTACAATCCAAAAAGGGACAACTAGCCTTATTCAACTAAAAATACAGTGGACCCCCGGTTCACGTTATTAATCCGTTCCTGAGAGCTCATCGTAAAGCAGAATTATCGGAAAGCGAATCTATTTTCCCCATTAGAAATAATGGAAATCAAATTAATCTGTGCAAGACACCCAAAAGTATGAAAAAAAAAACTTTTACTACATGAAATATTAAGTTTAATGTAATAGAATAATTACAATAACAATAGAATAATCACAGTAGAATAAATGACACTTACCTTTAATGAAGATCTGGTGATGATTGAAGGGATGGGAGGAGGGGAGAGTGTCGAAGTTTTAATGTTTAGAAGGGGAATCGCTGTTTTGTAATCACAGTTGCACCTTTTGCAAGAACAGCTTCCTTGATTGCCGTTTTCCTGCTTACTATAGTAGAGATGGTTGTTTGGGATTTACTATACAACTTGGCCAGGTCCGACACACGCACTCCACTTTCATACTTTGCAATTATCTCTTTCTTCATTTCAATAGTCATTAGCACCCTTGGTCTTGATGGGTTGGCACTAGAAGCTTTCTTGGGGCCCATGGTGACTCATTTTGCAGAAACAAGCACCAAGAACAGTGATAATATGGATAATATGGAATGTACCGAATGTATCCTTAAATACCACAGACTCCACCAATGCCTCCACCACTTCCTCAACCACTGCGAGTCCCTACTACCCTCCCTCCGACCCC